ATTATCGACCAATTTCGTCCACTGTTGCAACTGTGCAAATTGAACATTCATACACTTTTTCGAGAGAAAAGACACCGAACCTCCGAATAAACATGATTATTTAATAATTTAATTGTAACGCCCTTTGGATGATTCATGCTTTTGCTTCGCAGTTCGATTTCAATATGTTTATTGTTGGCATTTTTGCAGAAAGTGCCTGTTCGCATTGCAATATTTCCAAACGCAAATTTGATGTTCCCACTTAATGAAAGTCAACAACAACTAAACGAAAAATGCTCCTAGTGCCGATCATTCACTAACTTAATTGTAAGTTTAGAGCCATTTATATTTGTCTTAATTTAACTCAGCTGCAATGCACAACCCCAAAACTAAAATTAATAACCGAATAGATTTTGGTTTTCTTAAAATATTGACTAAAAAACAGCCGCAAATAAATCACTTAAAAATGTAGCTCTTGCTCAATTTCCGAGCGATGAGTGAAACCAACGAAATTTTAACTAATTAAAAATGTCTTTCAAAAGTTCTGATTTCAAGAATTGTAGCGCAATTCGAGAGCACACAACTCACCAACTCATAGAGCGGCATTAACTCAAAAGCGCAACTCAACACAATGTACCAGGCCTAATCGAAATAGTCCCTTAAACAGTAATGTTGCAGTAACAATCGATGTGAGGTAAAGGAGCGAAGTTAAGCAGTTGGGAGTTAAAACTGCTGTAATAAAAGCCCGAGTTGAAATGTGGATATTTACATCATTGTTTTGGGAACTTGATTGAGAAACAAAATTTTAAAACATTAAGTTCTATTCAACTGATTACATTGACGAATTTGTCTCTTCATCACATGTTATCTCTGTTGACTTACGCATAAGGCAACAACTTAAGAACAACATTGCTATTATTTCCTTCTTCTGTCCTCCCTTAATACCCCACAGTCTCACTCAACCATCGTGCACCTCTTAAAATAATTTACTCTTTGGCACCATTCTCAATGACCACCCTCTACATTGCTTAATTAGCTAATTAATCAGCAGTCTCCTAGTCTAAAACAATCACCACTGATTCTCCCGGCCACAAGCTCACTTCTTTAAAAGAGATACTCTCTAAAATTGAGTCCACTTTGGGCCCCACGATCACTTGTCCTGTGTAGAGCAGCATGGAAAGATCAGTTGAAATATGATTAGAGCCCAAGTTGCTGGCCACCACATAGGATTTCCTTCGCGGGTACCATCGTTGAACCACCAAAAAGTTCTCCTGCCAATACTTGACTTCGGCATTGGCTTTGTTCACTCCCTCTTTGTAGACGGCGTTCATGTAGATGGATGGAGACTGCATGCGCAGCTCCGTCATCCTGACGATGGCGTTCACTTGGTCGAAATGTGGTGGGGATTTGCTGCCCCCATAAATCCAGGGAAGCACCTTGGGCTGTTCGCCTTTCCAGGGCATCATGGTGAGCTGATGTAGGTGTTTGATGTCTTTTCGTTCCTCTTCTGGATCTGCGATTTGGCTGAGTCCGATTTCGTCGCCGTAAAAAATCGAAGGAGTTCCTGGAAGCATCAGCTGCAGAAGAGCCGCTCCAAGTGTCCCATTTCCAAAGGGCAAAATATTAGCTAGACGGTTGGAGTTTACGTTTCCAATAGACCAGTGCACCCAAGGCATTCCCGGCTTGGTAAACAGTGATCCGTTCTGGACAGCGTCGATTTGCTTGATGATCTCCGAAACTCCTTTCTCTATATCAAGCTTTACGTCTACGAGATCGATGTTGTTGAGCACAATGTTCAAGTTCTTCTTTGGAGTCCGATTGAGGGTCTCCTCCGAAACGATCAGAATCCTATGAGGCCCCAGCAGCTTCTTCCACTTTCGCACCAACCGTGCAGTGTCATGCTGATCGGCGAACTTTTCCAGGCCCTTTAAGTAGAACCCTTCCACTCCATGCAGCAGCCAGAACTGAATGGCGTCTTCCACCGGATCAAAATCATAACTCACGTTGAAGAAGTCGGAAGGTTCTTCCGTCTCGTTTCGGGGGGCGATAATGAATTTTTTTGCTGATGAATTCTGGATGATTGAGGCAACTGGGAGGTCCAGCATCAGCGAGATGTTCCGCGAATTGAGATGCAGCACCAGGCTCTTGAAGTCCTCCAAATTTCCCAGAGTGGAATCGATTTCCATTGCATTGATCGTATTTTCGAAGTCCTTCGGATAGTGAGATGAGCGGAAAATCGAATTCAGGCGCACGGCTCTGACGTTCAGTTGCATAATATAGTCAGCTTTCATGGAAATGCCTTTGAGGTTTCCCTCCATTTCCTGGCTGCTGCTGTAGAAGCTGGCCGGAAAAATCTCGTAGAAGACTTTGCCTTGGTACCACTGAGTTTCGGGGTTGCAGGTTTTGGGCAAAGTCGCTATCAGCCCTATTACCAAGGCCACCATTCCGATAAGGCCGGAAAGGTAGAGGTAGAGGGACACTTTGCGGATAAAGGGCCAGTTCCAAGACATGAAGAAGTAATCTTCCGTTGGATTGCGGAAGGTCAGCTCCAGTGAAGCCGCTTTTCCGCCCTAGAATTGTTCCCAAGTTATTATTAAATCGGTTAAACGGTTAACTTGTGCACCTCTACGCCTGCTTCTTCATCCAACGGCAGGCTCAGGAAGTTGGTTCCATCCAGCAGCTGCGAAGTGACCGGTTGCTCGGAAGAAGCTGAAGAAATCGAGTCGCCATCACACTTTCCTAACAAGCAAAGCATTAAACTCTAGTGCAAATAGGGAGGAGGCAAGTTACCATGCACCATCTGCAGTTTTTCGGCTAGCTGGGCGCCAATTTGGTAGTTGGGTTCGATGGGTTCAGGAATCGGATCCACTAGAGCGTTAGTGGGAGGCGACGGCGTTATCAAGGGGCAGATGGAAGTGGAATCTGCGTTATCTGGATTGAAGGAGCTGGAAGGCGAAGAGGTGCCTGCATTGTGGTCAACTCGCAGGAAACCTTCCATGGTACTCTTGGATGTTGCACGGCTGGAAAAATAGTCAATTTTTGCAAATCGACGTTGTAGATTTCGCAACAGTTTTAGTACATTTTGCTAAAATATTTTTAGTAATAGCGCGTAGCATTTTTGGACAAAATTTGCTTTGAAAAGCATCAGAAAAATTGCTTAATCAACTTACAGAAAATAGTGTTTTCAATGTGTTTCCATGGTTTAGGTTATAAGCACTCAAAAAACAGTCTCACGTTATTTTCGCAGCTGCAGTATGGATTTATTTAGACGTCGCGACGCCACGCATCGGCGCCTACTCTAAAGGCGTCCGTGTCCCGAAATAAAGCGCGCTCTGCTTCTGGAAAACTGGCATCGATTTACAAAGTTGCAGTTTTCTAAGCGAGGAAATTAATCAAAGCTTCTAAATTTGTGGAGGCTTGACCAAATATAAGTGCAACAAGGTTCTTTTCCGTTTAGATAAAGAAGCACATGCGGGCGTTAACGATTTCATATGCCCCGCCCCGATTACTTTGTGGGTGTTTCTCTCTTTCTGATCCAGGCATTTCGGGTTCCGCCTTGTCGTATTCATAGTATATGAACCGATCAAATATAATAAAGCGCATATAAATTGAGGCTTTTTTGCCGACTGCTAAAACCCTCATTCTACCTAAGTACCTACAGTACAGACGAGAAAGGTTGCAAAATGAAAAACCGCACACAAAGCGTCCAAAGTTTAAAAATGAATTATGTAAAGACCAGTTACTGGAGTGAAACTAAAATTTGCAACACGCATAAAAATTAGATTCCTCGATCGACTGCTGGAACCTACGTTTCTATGCTTCTGGCGGTTGCTCAGAAAGTCGCCTAATTAGAGCATGGTGCAAAAACAAATCCATCCCAGAAGAATAAAATTTAAAATTTTATTTGTCCAGCATTTATTTATGGATTACTCAAATCGGTATTTTAATTTACTGAGTCTTTGCTCAGAATAAAGCCGCAGCAGAGCATAGTGCAGAAATTTAAACCCGTCCAAAATTTTCTGAAGTTTGAAAACTTATAATGTAGAAACCAATTAGTCTATTTAAATCAAATTTGGAACACGTATGAACTACGATTTTCTTCATCGACTGCTGCCGAAAACAGTTCAATGTCTCAGGCAGTTGCTCCGTAAACAGCATCAGAAGGTGCCAAATTGAAAAACTGCACACAAAGTGTTCAAATAAAAAAATATGTAGGGACCAGATACTCAACTAGAACCAAATTAGCAACGCGTATAAAGCGAAGAATTACCCATCGACTGGTGAAACCCGAATTGTGATAAAGCAAATGGCTGCTCAGAAACGCTGCAAATAACAGCATGATGCATGAGCGTGAGCAACAAACAAACAGCGGAAAAATTTTCAAAGTTAAAAGAACTTAAATATACGAGCGGTTTTTCCTCGATTGCTCAAATCGTGTTTCAATGTATGAAGCGGTTTGCTCAGAATAGAGCCTCAGCTGAACAAGTGTCCAAAGCTTAAAAATTTGTTATGCAGGGACCAGAGACTCGACTAGAACCACATTTGCAACACGCATAGATTAAATATTCCTTTATCGATTGCTAACACTCGCATTCTGATGCCCTAAATGATTGCTTAGAAACGCGGAAGAAAGTTTAACATAGAGCAAAAATTAAAAAAAGCGCAAAATTTTACAAAGTTTGAAAACTCATAATTTAGCAGCCAATTAGTCTCTTGAAACCAGATTTGGATCAAAAAATAAACTGAAGTTTTTGCTGAGATTGGCGAAACCCGTATTTCAAAGTACCAGCCAGTTGATCTGCAAACTTGCATCAGAAGAGCACGGTTCTTAAATGAAACACCGCATAAAAAATATTCGTAGTTTAAAAATTTATTTCATCGGAACGAATGGACCGAATAAAGCGAAGTTCATACAGCATGTAAATTAAAGCTTTATTCATCGATTGCTGAAACAGCCATTTTTATGCCTCAAGCGATTACTCAAAAAAATGTCTCAGAAGAGCTCAATGCAAAAACAAAAAACCGCTCCGCAAAATGGAAAGTTGTGGAATGAAACTATAACTTCCTTCTCCTCAGAACACAAGTGTGGCCCCATGTTTTAAAAATTTCTTTAGCTATTAAAGATTGGACTAGATTGTTCCATATCTTTGAGTTTAAAGACCAATTTTCAAACTACAACGCATAAAAGCGTAACTGACCGGCTTAGGATAGCAATATTCGCGTTTAACATTATCATACATTTTAAAGCAAGAATCTGAGCAAAAGTAACTAAGTAATTCACATCAAAAGTCTTACAGATTTCAACTGTGATTTCTAGGAACATTCGAATCCACTGCAAACTTTACAACCCTTGGGGCATTAAGAGACCAGCGTAAAATAAACATACGCAAACCACTATTGGTGCTTTATCAGTTAAGTTTTTTAGTTTAGAGCAACGGCCTTCCTCCGGCTTCCGTGATATGATAACTCTAAAAAAGTATTCTGCTGCCCATAACTAGGCTTATTAGGAAAACTACATGAAACATATTGATGTACATATCAAGAAAAAACATGATTGACCTCTGCCGATAAGCATGCTAAGCATTCGCTCTATCAAAGAAATCCGCGCTTCTTGATAGTTAGTTAAAGTGTTTCATTGAGCTTGGATGTTGTAGATTGTGTTCATCTTCCCCAGTTATTTTTGAAAAGAGTAGTTTCAAGGATTTGTAGCCGATCAGCTTTTTAATGGAAGCGCTGGATATTTGGGCGCATTTTATATAAATTAGGTAAGTTGATAGTTTGCTCAGCTAGATTTTGGTGATATGTCGATTTTTTTCGTTTAACTACTAGATTTGGGAAATTTTTGCAACTACGGCAGATTTATTTTAGTTGCTCGTGTAACGCTAATTAGAAGTGATAAACAAATTGAAAATTGATAAACCCTGAACTCAGGAATTAATGATAACCAAACTGTATTTTTGGTGCTGCGATATTTCCAACAGTATTAATTATATATTGAGCGAAAATCAATCGCTCACTTAAACAATGGATAATCAGATAATAAAAGTTTGATTAAAACAGCATTTTCTTAACAAAAAGGGAGAGTTTATCAGTTAGTGCTAATGAAAAGAATCAAACTTTCCATGGTCTTTTGGAAACGATAAATCAGACAAGTAATTAATTAACGGAAATGGCCGTTTTATGTTGCGCAAATCTGAGTATTATCAACCGGCCAAGCTATTAATGTTACTGATTTCTGCATGATGTTTGTTAAGCAATGTGTTTTGAACATTTCTTGCCGATATCACCGCTTTCGTCATCAAACTGCGTGATTTTCAAGAATTTATTTGCCGAATTCTAGCAGAAAAACTGTCTTTTACAGCTCAAAAAATGTACCCTTTTTCAGCATTAACGAAAATCTTGAACATAAGTTTTAAATGAAAAAAAATTCAGCAACTGTTTTTGTTCCAGATCATTTCGAGATAGTACATGGAGCGTTTATCTTTACCACAAGACTCCCGCAATTTTTATTCGAACATTTTAGTTGAAAGATTCCATTCGGATACTCTAAAGATAATCACCTTCGTCGACGTGTATCACATTGAAAGTCCCGGAGGAAATGGCCCTTGATTTTCTTGCTGGGTGCATTGGAGGTAAGAGACTGGCAACTTTTCCATTTGAAGCATCTGAAAGCTTGCTGTTTTAGGCTCTGCTGGTGTATTAATTGGCCATCCTTTGGACACAGTGAAGGTTTGCATCCAGACCCAAGATTCAAACAATCCCAGATACAGAGGCACTTTGCACTGTTTGCAATCCATTTGTACTCAGCAGGGCTTCAAGGGGATCTACCGGGGCGTTACTAGCCCCTTATTTGGTAAGCGGCACTTATGCATCTAAAAAAGCGCTTGGGAAGCGGTTTAAAGAGGACAGAAAACTAAAAAAACAACGCTGATTGCAGGTGTGGCCGGAATAAACGCTATAGTATTTGGCATTTATGGCAATACTCAAAGGCACATGCAAAATCCAGATTTATTAATAAGTCACGCCATTGCTGGTGGAACTGCAGGATTAGTTCAGAGCTTTATTTGCAGTCCCATTGAGCTGGCTAAGTCAACAATGCAGGTACGATTTTAACATTTCCATTAGGTTTTGAAAGAGGTTGCAAAATGGAAGATTCTTTTCAATAACTTCCAAAGAGTGGAAGTCACGGACTTTGGTAGAATGGTTTTCAGAGACTTCTGGATGTGCTGAGAAAAGTTTCAGACCATATAATGCCTGGCAACCTGTTCATATATAGATAAAACTGAACATTTTAACGAAATAGTCGATCATTCATATGGCACAGGGAATAAAATAATCAATAATATATTATTATAAATTAAACAATAACATTTGTAGATTATACACACACGACAATTTAAGTAAATTTAAGGCGTATAATAGTATAATATTTAGCTCAACTACCTTTTCTGTACATGCCTATATGAGTTGATGACCCCCAATTCAATTATCTATCCAACGATGCCAAAACGAATTCTCTGGCTCGAATGGTTTTTGAGAAACCTCGAAAAAAGCAGCGTCATGTTCAAGTGGATTTTGCAACTCAAAAAAAAA